AGCTTGAAGGAAATCTTTCTACAAACAATACATTTGTAACTTAGTTGGATTCTTAAGTGACAGCAACATAAATGAAAAGTTTGCCAGTTTACAAATTCTAGTTGGTGTCCATTATGCCCAATTCAGGGTAATTTTGCCAGTTTCCATTGTATCTGCTTTTATTTTTATTATAAACTATATATTAAGATGTCTGTGAAGGTTCTCAGTCATCCAGGTCATCGTAGTCAAAGGAGCTTGCAAAGAAAAGCGTCTGGACTTCTTCTTTAAAGAAGTCCAGACGCTTTTCTTTGCAAGCTCCTTTGACTATATATTAAGATGAAGACCTTTGTATAAATTTATATACACAGGTATATAAAATAATTATTCTGTTTGTTTTTTATTATCAAGTAGAAACTGTTCATTAGAATCTAGCCCTTACAATACAAATGTATGTAGACACAATGCAAATTGGCTGCATAAATACCAGAAACGGTCTTTGGAAAATATTTTTTTAAAAATTGTGCTTAACAATCTTAACAGAATTTAGTCTCTGCTTGACAGCAAAAGTTATTTTTAACTGTAAAAAAATACACGCAATAATGGGTTATTTGGAAACCTAAAGCCATGTAAATTCTGATGGAACCACAAATACTTACCTCCACCACCTCCCCTTGGACTGTGATGAGCCCGCCACTTGTGGAGCCCATCTTCAGAGGTGTCAGTGGAGCAGGAGGATATAGAAGATGCTCTGCTTCGGTGAAACGATCCTCACTAACAGTTAGGTTTGCAGCCTTAAAAAATTGGGTTCGTGCAGTTATATTTATATTGTATGGTGGGGCCGCGCCCCTGAGTTCATACCCCCTCATTATGTAGCATCCCCCCTGCTGGATTTTAGAGGAGAATTCCTCAAATATTGTGACCTTGGTCACAGTCTGGGTATCTGTGATGGCTGCCACAGTGTTCTTTTTGGTAATCAGGGGTGTAGCTGTCCCATCTTGGAAGTGCCAGCTAGTGACCCTCAGCTGGTCGCATGATCTTAACACTTTGAAATGCAGTGGGGGTGGCCGGAAATACGGTGTGTCAGGGCGAGTATTTAGAAGCTTCATCAAAGCCATTCTGAAAAAAAGGCAACACAAAAAATATTAAAAAGTTAATACATTTCTGTTACAACCAAGGGTCATATAATATGGTAACACCTGTAGATTTTGTGCAGTCTCTTTGCTTTCTGATGTCAAACAAAAGTCAAAAATACCTTTCTGAGGTTCCCGCTTAAAAATGACAGGCCAAAAAACCCAGGCCTGTCTAAAAGTATTTTTCTGATATTAAATACAATGTTGGTTTTAAAATAAAGCTAACAGTTCTAAGATTTCATTGAATTAATGCAAATATTACAGCAAAGAGAGTTGGTCAAAGTAACTGAAGACTGAACTCATACTCAAAGAACCAATGAGATGTTTTTTCTTACCAAATTTTTATTCATTTATTTTTTATATTTTCTAGCATATAATGCCCTTTGAAAATATGCTGGCAATACACTCCAGAAAATAAGGAATCATCACATGAATATTATCTCTGCAAAGATTGATGCTGCTGAAGTGAAACACAGTGAAACAACAGTTTTAGTTAAGACAAAGCTGGGTATTCATAATTTGTGAATAGCTTCTTTGGCTCTAAATTTGTGAACAAGAAATGATTTAACTTTATTTAAATGCCTAAAATATTTGTTGTTTGTTGGAGATCCCCCCCACACACACACACACACACACACACACACACACACACACACACACACACACACACGCACACACACACACGTAATGCACTTGCATAGTTCCTGTGGCTGTGGCTCTTTCTATTGGTCCCCTTTGTTAATCATTTGAGCCAATAGAATGACAGTAATCTAGTACGCTTTCATGTCAGTCACAACCTCTGTAACCGCGCAGAAAATGGCCTTTTTTTGACGAGTAATGGCTCTGAGGCATTGTGGGAAATGAAGTTATTCAGAATATGGTTTCCATTAGGTTTTTGTTAACTCTTTTAGCTTAATTCCTATTGGTTATTCAGTTTTTGTATAGCTTAATTGAGAAAGTGCTAGAAAGTGTTGTTGCCAGGGCAGAGTGCCAGCCTTAAGCAAAGTTAGAGACTCACAGCTCAAACTTAACATCTTAAAGTTTATAAAACTGTTATAGATCTTGAAGATTTGTCAAATTCGTTAAGATCTTAATATTTCATATAAAAAATTAGGACTGAAATTATTTTTCATTAATACATTTAGATCTTTTTTTCAATTAAATACCCATGAGACAATAAGTTCATCAACTATGACACCCACTAATATATTACTGTCAATAGTAAATGTGAATTTATTGATAATGAATTTCTCTGCAATAGAAACGTAACATAGGAAAAAGAAAGAAAAGTCAGATTAAGTTTTGGTACTTTGACAGTCTTTATATTGACAGCAAGTTAAATGGCTAGATCTTGTGTCTTGCCCTATATTGTATTATACATATTATAAGGGTAGTAAAAAAAACACCCTCAAAATTCAATCCGGTTGTTCAGTCTTACTTCACTAGCCGTGTCTGGACCTAAACTCCATATATCAAACGATCACTATGGCATTACTGAGAGTTGAAAAACTGTCTAAAGTCTTTCATCTTTAATAAAATGATCAGCGTTCTGCTCTACCAGGTGTAACAATTGAGTTTAACATCCAGGCATCCATGAAAACAGAATTTATGACATTTAACGGAGTTAGAAGTCGGATACTTACGTTTTATGAAGTTTTTATGAAGCCGTCTGTGTCCCTCGAAGTATCTTGGAAAGATTCAGAAAGATCAAATAAGGTTCCCGCCGGTCTTTAAGTTACAACTTGTGACGTAATCTGTTATCACCCGCCCTGATTGGCTAACTACGATTGTGTTTCGTGATTGGACTGCCTTGTGCTGATTTTATGTTATCACTGTTTTCGGGGTTTTTTGTTTGTTAACTCGTCTAATTTTAATTATGGAATTATCATTACTATTTTATAAGTCTCAAACGTAAAATTTGAGATTTATAAAATCTGTTATAGGGCTTTGGAGTTGACGTCACGCCGCAATGCATTGTGGGAGCATGCCACCATTTTATCAGGCCACGAATCAAAACAAACACACTCGTTTGGACGGAAGATACAAACCGTACTTAAAAGCAGCTCAAAACAAAAAGAACTTTATAGACTCAGATTGTGTCGGATGAGAAGAGACGGTACTTGCAAAAAATAGCGTGCATTGGAAATGTGGACCCGTATGAAAAAACGGCAGTGGAGCAGAAACCCCGAAGCCTGATATATTTCCGTACCTGTGGAGTCAGCGCATACACAGCGAACCATTTCGCAATTATAAATGTCTGGAGGCGCACATCCGATTAACCAATGGTTGGTTACAAGATTTGGCTATTTTTAGACTCCACGTTGTGAATACGTCATCATTCAAACAAAGGTAAGTCAGCTTGAGTACTGCCAGTAAAATGCGTTTGATTTCCCTCCGAACATTCAGATTAGTGCAGCATAAATTCATTCATGAGGGGAAATTACAGTGAGAACATGTTGAGGCTCTGTTAGATGGATAATATAGTGAGTTCAGTGCACTGATATGACTGATATGTAAGCCCAGCATTAGAGTGCCTCTGTGCTGGGCAGACACTGTGCGATTTTTGGCCCATTTTGAGCCGTTTTTTCAGTCGTGCGGCCGTTTTGGTGATCGGCCCGATTTTGGCCTGCCTCGTGCATCGTGTAGTATACGTGGGGTAACGAGAAGTGATTAACACCTCACGACCAGCTCCCGATCATCAATCGCTTGGTCGTGAGGGTGTCACCGCAGTTTGTCACACTGCGCACGCGCAAACACAAATGTCAGCGAAAAAGACGGCGCAGCACGGCTGTGCAGCGTGTGATCTGGACACAAGCGATGGAGGCACAACTTGTAGAACTTTGGAAAGCTCATCCGAGCCTTTTCGATGTGGCCTCACAAAATTATCACGACCACAACAACCGTGAAAATAGTTGGATTTACATTGCTGCTCAATCACAGCTGCCTGATCAATGTTTTTCATTAGCAATTTAGCAAAGTTGATGGTGGTGGCGTGTCTGTGTGAGTGAAAGACAGAGAGGGGAGCGAGCGACAGAATTTCTGTTATAACCTTCATTTTATGGACGCACAGTGTGAGCACTCAGGTCGCATCAGAGCATCGGGCCGTATAGTGTGAGACCCTGCATCGTGACCTACGATCTTCTAACCCCTGCGAGTCAACCGTACAGTTTGAGCAGGAGCTGAATCGCGCGACTGACAAAATCGCACAGTGTGAGCCTTGCTCTTTCAATCAGAAATGAAGCTGCAGGTTGTCTCTTCACACCTACACCGAGACAGAGCAACAGTGAGACAAACCCAAACAGCACTGAGATTCATATTCAGGCCTGACCCTTTAATGTTCTTTTCTAACCTGCAATAAATAATATGTTATATGCTTGTTTGATAAGTTTTTTTGTTTTTTTTAAAAAATTGGTTATTGCTTTTTTTCAGGGGTTGGAACAAGGGTCATCACCAGACCAAGGCTCAATCGAGTCATGGAAGGAGGAATCAGGTGAGATAGTAAGCTGCTGTTATATACAATATTAGTGTACAACAGTCAGGTAACATGCTCCAAGCACAATAGAAAGTGCAATGTTTAAATATAATTAATATAATTATATATACAGTGGGGCAAAAAAGTATTTAGTCAGCCACCGATTGTGCAAGTTCCCCCACTTAAAATGATGACAGAGGTCAGTAATTTGCACCAGAGGTACACTTCAACTGTGAGAGACAGAATGTGAAAAAAAAATCCATGAATCCACATGGTAGGATTTGTAAAGAATTTATTCGTAAATCAGGGTGGAAAATAAGTATTTGGTCACCTCAAACAAGGAAAATCTCTGGCTCTCACAGACCTGTAACGTCTTCTGTAAGAAGCTTTTCTGTCCCCCACTCGTTACCTGTATGAATGGCACCTGTTTGAACTCATCATCTGTATAAAAGACACCTGTCCACAGCCTCAAACAGTCAGACTCCAAACTCCGCCATGGCCAAGACCAAAGAGCTTTCGAAGGACACCAGGAAAAGTATTGTAGACCTGCACCAGACTGGGAAGAGTGAATCTACAATAGGCAAGCAGCTTGGTGTGAAAAAATCAACTGTGGGAGCAATCATCAGAAAATGGAAGACATACAAGACCACTGATAATCTCCCTCGATCTGGGGCTCCACGCAAGATCTCATCCCGTGGGGTCAAAATGATCATGAGAACGGTGAGCAAAGATCCCAGAACCACACGGGGGGACCTGGTGAATGACCTGCAGAGAGCTGGGACCAAAGTAACAAAGGTCACCATCAGTAACACACTACAACGGCAGGGAATCAAATCCCGCAGTGCCAGACGTGTTCCGCTGCTGAAGCCAGTGCATGTCCAGGCCCGTCTGAAGTTTGCCAGAGAGCACATGGATGATACAGCAGAGGATTGGGAGAATGTCATGTGGTCAGATGAAACCAAAGTAGAACTTTTTGGTATAAACTCAACTCGTCGTGTTTGGAGGAAGAAGAATACTGAGTTGCATCCCAAGAACACCATACCTACTGTGAAGCATGGGGGTGGAAACATCATGCTATGGGGCTGTTTTTCTGCCAAGGGGACAGGACGACTGATCCGTGTTAAGGACAGAATGAATGGGGCCATGTATCGTGAGATTTTGAGCCAAAACCTCCTTCCATCAGGAGAAC